AAGAGGCAACCAGAATCTAAATGATGACCCCTTAAATTGTTTGCAATTATTCCTGAATGATGCTGTGTTTGATTACATTGAAAGAAAGAAACTGCTATGCTGATCAATTTTTATAAAGGAAAGGATTTAAAACCATGTTCATGATTTCATAAACAGATACCTGTGAACCATCAAGAGATGAAAGCATTCTTTGCTTTGCACTTTGCAGCAGGCTTAGTCGATAAACCCGAAATAGAGGACTACTGAACAATATTTTGGCTAACTGTCAGTCCTGTTTTCTGCTGTGTCCTTACTAAGGATAGATTTGAATTGACTTTGAGCTTCCTGCACTTTGCAAACAACAATGATAAAGTTGCCAAAGGTGCTTCTTGTCACGACAGCTTATTCAAAGTGTGTGTCCACTGATTGACATGATAATTCCACAACTTGCACAACAGTTTGGTTCAAAAACAATGAATTGCCATTGGAAGAATTGACAACTGTATTCAAAGGATGAAGTGTTTTGAAATGGTACAACTTTAAGAAAGCAGATAACTTGGAATTCAAGGCTTTTGTATTATCTGTGTTAAAAAAAGGATATGTTCTTGTATGGTCACTTTATGCAGGTAAAAATGGAAATGCTGCAAATGAGGATGGTGATGATGTATCAGTCACCCATAGACTTGTTTGTAATATGATGGCACCATATATTGGCAGAGAGCATGAACTGTATTTAGACAGTTATTACACTAGTGGGTTTTTAGCTGAGGAACTGTCTAATCAAGACATTTGACTATGTGGTAAAGTGAAAGTGAACCCCTGCAGCATGCTGGGAGCTTTGAAACCTGCTGTGTTACCTCTCAGAAAAGGTGATGACTCTGTTTTCGTAAGGAAAGGGAAAGTGACTGTGTGTAATTGTTTTATTATTTCATTATCTGTATTCACAAATCACCTCCCAAACACTGGCTTGAAGATGGAATAATTTGCCTCTTCAAAGGGGTTCTGAACAATAAATACAACATAGCAAAAGATAAATAATAACTCTTGAACTGTTGTTTTATGAAAAAGATGTGATTTATTTGTGTCAGATCAGAAGAAAAAGAATAAACTATAAATATCTCAAATATGATGGCAATATTAAAAGTGTCACATCATCAGATATGCATAATTTAAATCTTCAGGTTGTACTGAACAATTGTTTCCCTTTGTGTTAGGTCATATTATTTATATAATTTGAATCTTCAGGTTGTACTGAACAATTGTTTCCCTATGTGTTAAGTCATATTATTTACATAATTTAAATCTTCAGGTTGTACTGAACAATTGTTTTCCTATGTGTTAAGTCATAATATTTACATAATTTAAATCTTCAGGTTGTACTGAACAATTGTTTCTTTATGTGTTAGGTCATATTATTTATATAATTTGAATCTTCAGGTTGTACTGAACAATTGTTTTCCTATGTGTTAGGTCATATTATTTATATAATTTGAATCTTCAGGTTGTACTGAACAATTGTTTCCCTATGTGTTAGGTACACGTATAATAGTTAACTAACCTCCTAAACATCACATTAGTGTAGCCTATATAATGTGTAATGTTTAGTATACTCTAATCCCTAGATGGCACATGACGAGACACACATTCAGCATGTAACGCTGTTTGAATACAAGAAGGGAAACAATGTCTCTGTAACCACAAAGAATATCAAAGAAGTTTATGGAAATGTTTTGTAAGTGTCAATGATGGTTCAGCAAATTTTGTTCAGATGACTTTAGCCTTAAAAACT